TGTACGTTTAAAACATGATTTATAAATACACAAATCCAATTCGTATGTTTAAAACATGATTTATAAATGCGCAAATTTAATTCGTACGCTTAAAAAATGATTCATAAATGCACAAATCCAATTCGTAAATTCAAAACACAAATCATAAATACACAAATAAAATTCAGAAATTTAAAACATGATTTATAAATACACAAATCTAATTTGCAAGTTCAAAACACGATTCGTAAATACACAAATAAAATTCGCAAATTCAAAACAAGACAAATCCTATTTGTACGTTTAAAACACGATTCATAAATGCACAAATCCAATTCGTAAATTCAAAACACAATTCATAAATACACAAATAAATTCTAAAATTTCAAATACAAATCATAAATACACAAATAAAATTCACAAATTCAAAACACGATTCATAAATACACAAATAAAATTCGCAAATTCAAAACAAGATATATAAATACACAAATCTAATTCGCAAGTTCAAAACACGATTCGTAAATACACAAATAAAATTCGCAAATTCAAAACAAGACAAATCCTATTTTTACGTTTAAAACACGATTTATAAATATGCAAATCCAATTTGTGAATTTAAAATACGAGTCAAAAATACACAAATAAAATTGATGGATTCAAAAAACGATTTGAAATCACACAAATCCAATTCATAAATTCAAAGCACGTGCTGCATTCGAAACCAACTACTCAGTAAGTTCTGCATTTGAATTTAAACGTACTACTCAGCCGTCAGAAAAGTGCGTTCTATGAATGTGAGCAGTATGAATGGAACTCGGGCCTACTACATTCGCCATTTTGTCATGATCACGTGACCTTCTCGCGTCAGTTGCATCGCTTCACTCCCATTCATGAATTCTCTCATTGGTCATCATGGAATAGCGTAGCGTCTATCCAATGCGTCTATCCAAGTAGATAATTTGGGTACTTTTCGCATACTGACAACAACTCAGCTCACATACTGATTTTAGTGTACTTTATAGTATGAAAGTATGCGATTTCGGTTGGAGCTACGATTTGCAATTCCACAAATCCATATTGCTGTGTGATATGAATTTAATTTTGATAAATGTATTAATTTTAAGACTGATCTGACTCTATTTTCTCTCTCTATCTTTCTCTCTCTCTCTCTCTCTCTCTCTCGCTCGCTTAAGCTCAAGGTTAATCGCCGTGTGTTTTGGGCAGTTTTATGTTAATTTGTCTGAGTGTTGGCTTTGTGCTGCTGATTTTGAATGCTGCTGCTGTTGAATTAAGGGTTAAATGTCACCAACGAACATTTATGGAAAGTATTCCTCTGGGTTTTGATTATTTCTCTTTAAATATTTATAGTCAGCAGTACTGCGAATGGAGTGCTTCAGTGTCGTTGAAGAAAGCTTTATACCTTTAAATATGTTTTATATACATTTTAAATACAATTTTGGTGTCTTAGAAGTGAGATTTATACCCTTAAATACATTTAATATACATTTTATATTCATTTAAAATATGTTTTCGGTGCCTTTGAAGTGAGCTTTATACATTTAAATATGTTTTATATTCTATATTATACGTTTTAAATATGTTTTAAATACATTTTCGGTGCCTTTGAAGTGAGCTTTATACATTTAAATATGTTTTATACACTTTTTATATGTTTTAAATGCATTTTAAATATGTTTTAAATATGTTTTCGGTGCATTTGAAGTGAGCTTTATGCCTTTAAACATGTTTAAAATACATTTTCGGTGGCTTTGAAGCCTTACACCTTTACATAACTTTGATATACATTTTAAATACATTTTTGATGCCTTTGAAGTGAGTTTTATACATTTAAAATTTGTTATCTATTTGTTAAAATACATTTTTGTTTCCTTTTTGAAGTGAGCTTTATACCTTTAAATGCATTTAAATTATGTTTCATATTCCTTTTAAATACATTTTCGGTGCCTTTAAACTGAGTGTTTTGCTTTTAAATACATTTTATATACATTTTAAATAAGTTTTCGATGCCTTTGAAGTGAGATTTATATGTTTAAAATTAGTTTTGTATTCTTTTTATTACATTTTTGGTGCCTTTGAAGTGAGCTTTATACCTTTAAATGTGTTTAAAATACGTTTCATATTAGTTTTAAATATGTTATTGCTGCTTTTGAACTGCGTGTTATACTTTTAAATACATTTTTATACATGTTTTATAAATGTTTTCTGTGTGTTTTTAAAAGCTTATCAACTTATCAACAGCAGGACTCGCTAAAATATAATATGTACTACTTTTTGTTCTGTTTTATGTGTTATATATATTCAAATATTTTCATATTTTGTCTCATGTTGGGCATAAAACATTATTTTTTATGTAAAATGAGATTTGTACACCTCATTTACATGTATGTTTTATTTTACATTGGGAATCAATGTAATTGTACTATTATTTGATATCATACATCTTTATTTTTTTATGGTCATAGTGTATAGTGCTATTATTATGACATCCCATTAAATACAAATAAGGGCCTATATATAATTCATAGAGTAAAGTTTGAGTTTTGACTGGCGTTCAATTATTTGCTTTATTCAATTATTCAATTAAAGTGCATAAATTTACATAAATTATTGCAATATATATTATATTCATTGCTCATTTTCCATAGTCATCAATTATTAAAAATGATACTAGATGTATTTTGCATATTCTGTCACACAGCGGCTGGGATGAATTCACCATAGAGAGATTTGGCCCTAAAGAACTGGTTCAATTTACCCCAGTAGATGGCCTTTACTGACTTTCACAATTCCATAACTAATTATTGTTATTAATAACGTATATATGCAAATATACAGCATTAAAAAGGTTTCCTTTTTAAATGTGTATATGATTATAAATGTGTATCACCCTGTGAAGTTCTTTAATGTTAAAAAACATCTTTTTTTTTTTACAGATATTTTTGGATATATATATATATATATATATATATATATATATATATATATATATATATATATATATATATATATATATATATATATATATATATATATATATATATATATATATATATATATATATATATATATATATATATATATATATATATATATATATATATATATATATATATATATATATATATATATATATATATATATATATATATATATATATATATATATATATATATATATATATATATATATATATATATATATATATATATATATATATATATATATATATATATATATATATATATATATATATATATATATATATATATATATATATATATATATATATATATATATATATATATATATATATATATATATATATATATGTATATATATATATATATATATATATATATATATGTATATATATATATATATATATATATATATATATATATATATATATATATATATATATATATATATATATATATATATGTATATATATATATATATATATATATATATATATATATATGTATATATGTATATATATATATATATATATATATATAGATAGATATATATATATAGATGTATATATATATATATATATATATATATATATATATATATATATATATATATATATA